CTAATATAGTGTGATACTTTATCTGTTAATTATTTTTTGGTTCTTAAAAAAGAAAAGGAAATGGGAATTTTATCTCTTAATTTGATTTGTTTTAATCAACTCATTTGCATTCAAAAGGGTGATGTTAGCTGTTTGGCAAGCAGATAGAGGATTTTCATCTTATGATTTGCTTTGTTGTACAGGGTGTCGCTATGCCTGCCATGAATAACATTCTTTCCAAGTGGATTCCAGTGTCTGAGAGAAGCAGATCACTTGCCCTAGTATATAGTGGGATGTATCTTGGCTCTGTCACAGGATTGGCTGTCTCTCCCATGCTAATCCATAAGTTCGGGTGGGCATCTGTCTTCTACTCATTTGGCTCCCTTGGAAGTATCTGGTTTGCATTATGGATAAAAAAGGCAAGCATATGCTTCTTTAAGCTGTTTTTTTCAGTAAATTCTATTTCTATGTATGGTTCATAGAAGAAGTCACTAGACAAAATATGAAGAATTAACAACACTAACTGACAATTATATGCTTACACTTTATGGTGGTGCAATATGTGCAATATCCAGTAGGGCAATTTTGTCTGACTTGATTGAATGGTCTTTCTAATTAGGCCAAAATAACCCATTACCGCCTTATGATGTGATGTTGATTCTATGAAATGGAATAAGAAACCATCTATTTCTGCTGCCCCATATTTATAATCATTTCACTGGTGATAGCATGCAATCTGAAACTTTATGAGAGGGGGCTTGACTGGTGATATCACATATTGAAATATGAAAACAATGGTTGTATGTATAACTTCTTATAGCAGTGGCACTGCACGGAACTGAACTTTGAAAACTTTAAGCTGCTTTTATTAATTTTTCTCCAGGCATATAGCTCACCGAAGGAAGATCCAGAGCTTAGTCCACAGGAAAAGAAGCTTATCTTGGGTGGCAATGTAGCAAAGGAACCTGTTTCAGTCATTCCTTGGAAGTTAATATTATCAAAAGCGCCTGTTTGGGCTCTAATCATTTCTCACTTCTGTCATAATTGGGGGACCTTTATTCTCTTAACATGGATGCCTACATACTACAATCAGGTAATTGATCCACTGCAAGATTGCTGAACTTATTTATAGGTGTGTGATTTCAGCTAAACCACTATCTGAACAGTATAAATTTGTAATAACCAAGTCACGTGCATCCCAACAGGAAAAAAATCCGTTTCCTACAGTTAGATATCAGTACCCTTTTCTTGCTGTTGATATGTATTATTTAGAATCATGAATAAACTTTTTTACATCTTCTTTCCATTTATGATTGTTTTGTCAGGTTTTGAAGTTTAATCTCACTGAATCAGGCCTATTATGTGTCTTGCCATGGTTGACCATGGCTGTTTTTGCAAATATAGGAGGATGGATTGCCGACACACTTGTGAGCAGAGGTCTATCTATCACAACAGTTCGGAAGGCAAGGACTAAATATTGTTCCTATTCTTAATTGTGTTTAGGTACCATCAGGCTGTAATCACTTAGATATATGCTATTGGCAGTGACTAATAATCCTATTATGGCGAGGAGGATTCTTAGTTTCTAAGAACATTGGTGTTCTGTGTGTTTTCCTATGAGAAAAGGAGCTGTAGGTCTATGCACTGATATGTCACATACATCCAAACTGCATTAGTGTTGTCCCATTACTGGTGTGCAAGTGGCTTTTGCCATTTTGCCTTAATGGAAGTACAGAGAGACCATACTAATGCCACGGCTTTAACCATATGGATGGTTCTCATTGACAAATAAATTACTTACTATATGGATTAAATATAAGAGCATGCAATTAGAATTGGATCTTTAGTCACACAACTGAACTAGAAGTATCTATATGGGATTCTTCTGTATTTCTCATCAGATGAAGTAAATTTGATTAGATTTAATAAGCTCAAAGCAGTAGTGCTGCATTCCTCTTTTTTTGGAATAATTTCTGCTACCAGGTTTTCATTAAGTCAAGTTATGGTTGCTCCAAAATTTGTCAACATTACAGATCATGCAATCAATTGGGTTTTTAGGCCCAGCCTTCTTCCTTACGCAGCTCAGCCACGTCAGGACTCCTGCTATGGCTGTACTCTGCATGGCATGCAGTCAGGTTCGTTCTAGAGCAATGCCACCTTCACCAGTTTCATTCATCTTCTAATATTTTTTTTGCTGACTATAAAATGGATATTAAGACCTTCCAATCCAATATAGCGTGAAAAAGGTGGTTTCTCCTTACTGTTTTTAAAGAATTAATGAAGAATTGTCTGTGAATCCTATCATGTGCTATCAAAGTATTTGAATTTGAAGCGCTATGGTAAGTTGAATCCAATTCCAACTAATTGAATTTGAAGATTCACCCTGCTTGCATTGATACTGTCTTCATGCTCTGATTTAATGGAAGCATATAGGTTCTAATTGAGCATTGAGTTTAATGTAGAATGAGGATGTTTTACAAGAAGTCTGAACACCTAAAGGAAAGACTAGTTCACCTCCTTTTATGCGGTGTTTTAAAGCTGGATATGGGTTTCTTGCCATTATAGATATCTTCACTCTTCTCTTCTCGCTTTCTGGTCTTCTTCCTCTTCCATTTGTTCTTTCTTTTTCATTTCTGAAAGGCAAACCCATAAGCATCTCCAGACACCAAATTAAGTGGGAAAATCAAAAGAGAGAAAAATTAATCTGTATACATGAACACAAACGAACTTCATAGGCCGTGAAATACCACCATGAGGGAGGACAAACACCCCTGCATTTTGTTTTTTTGAAATGAGATGAAAATGCTGAAAATAAATGAATTAAGGGCAGAAAATAGAATTCATTGGTCCATATGTGTCTGCAAGCAGGTGGAAATTGTAAAATTAGGATGATGTCTTACTTTGTAGAAATCTTGGATGAATTCACCTTGGTATACTTTGTTGATGACAGGGGTCTGACGCTTTCTCACAGTCTGGTCTCTATTCCAATCACCAAGATATTGGCCCCCGTTATGCTGTGAGTCATCGCAATCTTTTGTATGAGTAGATGTTAATGCCTTTAATTGTGATTTTCTAAATGCTTTGTCCCCATTGGTATTTGTTCATTGACAAAAGGATTGTACTTGTTTTCTGATGGCCTATTCTGTTTTTTTTTTTTTTCCCACTCCAGTAACCAGAAAATCACTGTCTTCATCTATGTAGAAGTTGTCTACAAACTTGAAGAAAGTAGTCAAAACTAAAGCTAATAAAATTTCAATTACAGGGAGTTCTGTTAGGACTATCAAATACTGCAGGAGTGCTTGCAGGTGTCTTTGGTACTGCTGCAACTGGATACATACTCCAAAGAGGTAAAACACAACTACAAGCAAGTTATCTCTTTAACTTTTCATCTGTTGTGGGGATTTTCATTTCCTTAATTTTGTTTCAAATTTTGTTGCTTACTTCTCAATCTCTGTTTCTGCAGGATCTTGGGATGATGTGTTTAAGGTGGCTGTCGCGCTTTATATCATAGGCACATTAGTCTGGAACCTTTTTTCAACTGGAGAGAAAATTCTTGACTAGAATAATATAAGAATGGGGAAAGATGCCATATACATGACTTAGGAGGTCAAAGTATAAAGCGACAGGAGCACCGAAAAAGGACATGTAGCACACGTGCGAGGATAAAAGTCCTGATGAATAATTAAAGGCTAGGATGCCCCAATGCATCGAAGTTTTCCTACCACCTCTGAGGCCCTTGATATGCTGCAGACATGTTTTGGGGTTGGTTTAAAAACCTTTTCATAGGTTGATTTCCTTTTCTTTCCTTGTCAAGAAAAATGCCCTCTCCTCTCCTCTCATTTTCCTTTGCATTAATACATGTTTACAAGGTTCTGATGTAGAGGATGGGTAATTTTTGCTCATATACCTATACCATGCTCCAATTGCTTATCATCCGCTTAAGAAAATATAAATCTCAACTTTGTAAGAGAACCAGAGAGCAGGGCTCCCGAGTCCCGAACAAAATTGACAATACGAACTGTGAAATAATTTCTAGTAATTAATGCTAAAACTAACATGATGAGGTACTGCGTTGTTATTAATTGTAGCTGGGCCTATATATGGCCAATATGTAAGACTTGGTCCACTAGCAATTTCTTCAAAAAGGGACTTCTAGAGCCAAAGCCGACCTAATAATATGGAGTTAATGGTGTAGCTGTAGCCTACACGCCGTGCTATCTGCTTCCAATGCGCCTAATTTCCATTTCTGGGTTGCTTACCGCTACTGGCAGAGTGAAGCGCATATGATGTGTTTGCTATTTGGTATTGTCAGGGGTGCTTCTTGTTACACAGGATCCCCGTTGAAGGAACCTTTCAATTCCTTGGGAATTGACTCAGCTTGGACCGTTAACAAACTCCTGAAGTAGGACGTAAGATTTTCTGAAAGAAGGGAAGATAGAAAGTTTCCCTGTTATATTTACTATGATCCATGGAATATTAGCTAGACCATCATTCTCCCATACATTCTCTTCCATGTTTTGCAGAATCTTTCCGATTGATACTTCAGAGCAGTACCTTACACTGACTGGTTTGATTGATTGATTCCGGTCTCTATTTTCTTTGTGGAAAAAATTTATAATTCATTAGTGTTTTGGGTGCTGATTACGAAGCAGCACACCATATATGGGCACATATAGTTATCGGTGGATAGAAGCTTGGCACCCGAGACTGCTTAAGCTTTGCCCCAACCAGTGGCTGTAGCCAGAATATATATTATTCAGCCACCAAGCCAGAAGGTATTGTCTTAATAAGTTCAGAATTGATAAGGCATCATCAAATGTGGGGTTAAAGATGCAGCCACTTCAGAACAGTGAAGGGATGCAAAGCACGAGCACCACCTTTAAGTTTGTGAAAGCTACTAATCGCAGAATTAATACAAATAAATTTAACACCAATTTAACATCAAATAAATTGAAAAAGGGGATGACAAGCAGGAAGCTCATTAATTGAGCTGACAATGAAGCATTTATTCCATCACTATATATGAGCATAACCAAGTAATCATTTTCATAACCTTAAGCACTTACAAAAAGACCATTAAAATAAATAAATAAAATGAAGTAGAAATACACATGAATTACAAACAAGAACATAAAGAATCTTAATCATAAAAATTTGCAAATCAAAGGCTTGCTCTACTTGTAACGTACGGATGGGTTCAAAATACCCACTCCCTATTCTCTCTCTTTTATGAAAGCTAAATTAATTTGAAGCTATAAATAATAAAGTCGATGATGACCATGCCATTAACAATATTGTATATATAGATAGCTAGGAGAAGCTCTACCATCTTGTGTCCTGTGAGAAACATTAATCAGAAATGGCCCACCTGATGAAAATGAAAGCAAATATATGCCCTTTAATTTGTCTCTCTTGCTTCACATGGAGTACCTTCACCTTCTTAAATACACATCTCCAAATCCACCAAAACCTTTAAACAACCCCAACCACCACTCCCTTCCCAGCAGCACTTTCACTAGCGCCGTTACACCCACCACCGTTATATCTAACGGCAATTGCCTCATTATTCCCATGTAGCAACTGGCGTGACTCTCCTTCTTTACCCTTCTTTATTATTCTTGCCGCGGTACCCTTCAGATCCCTCTTATGCACATTGACTTTAAGCCCGTGTTTCATGAACAATGTTAATGACATCTTTTGCTCCACCTTGTGACCCTGAACAACTGAGAGACGGTGGCGTAACAGCACCGCCGCCGCCACCGATTTCATCTGAAGATAAGCCAAGTCTTTTCCTAAACATATTCTAGGGCCTGCATTGAATGCCACAAACTTGTATGAATCATGCATGATGAATTTTTTCCCATCAGAAGACAACCACCTCTCTGGCTTGAATTCCAAGCAATCTTCGCCCCATGTGGTCTTCATCCTCCCAGATGCATATATAGAATAGGTGACCGAAGATCCCGCCGGCACAAATGTCCCATCCGGCAACACATCGTCGGCAACTACATGCTTTGAGTCCTGAGGCACCGAAGGGTAAAGCCTTAGGGTTTCTGATAAAGCTGCTTTTAGATATATCAAACTGTCTATTTCTTCGAACCCTAACGGCTCGTCAACCCATTTTGTCACGTCATCACCACGTGTCTTGATCAAGACCGTGCAAATTTCATGCAAGATTTTCTCCTCCACCGATGGATTTTGGGTGAGGAGCCAAAAGAACCAGCTCAACGCCACTGATGACGTGTCACGTCCAGCAAGGATAAAATTGAGTGCCACGTGTTGAAGGAAAGTGTCTGAGTAAGATTCCTTCTTCTTCATGAATCTTGACAGCAAATCATCATGTGGAATGTTACGATCTTTTTGTTGATCCAATAACTCTTTCTTACGTGCATCAATAACGCTGGTCAGGTAATCGTCAAGCTGGGTTAAGCTTCTGTTCAAGCTGACTTCCAAGCCAAGTCGAAGCCATTTTTTCAGCTTCCACAAAACTTCTGGCAAAATGAATCTCTGAAGTGATGCTTCAGTGGCTCGGTCGAAAGCTGAAGCAAAGCTGTTCTCAGGAAGCCCTGGTGCGCACGTCTGCGGGTCCTTGCCAAAAGCCAAACCACAAATGTTGTCAAACGTGAGCCGAAGTAACAAGTCTTGGAGATCAACCTGCTCGCCTTTGAGCTGAGCTGTTTCAAGGACTGGGCAGAACCTCAACTTGATGGCTCTACTCACCCACCGAGCCATGGCCTGGCGCAGAGTCCTGGTGGTGAACTCCAGTGCGGCAGTCTTACGCTGGAACAGCCAAGTGTCACCGTCAGAGTTGAAGATCCCTTCCCCAAGAAGGTCATGGAACACAGCTTGCCATGTGGGTCCCTTTGGGTAGTTGTCGAACCGGGTCTTCAAGAGGTGCTCTATATTTCTCGGGTCGCACGTGACAGTCACGAGGCCTTGCTTCTTGGCTAAAAAGGGAATTGCACAGATGCAGGTCTGGTACGTACCACCACACGCGCGGAGGTTGTCGTAGATCCAGTCATGCAAGCGGTCACAATTCTCGATCAAGCCAGGAAGACTGCCCAGTAAGGGATACACACGTGGGCCCTTTAGTGACCGCGAGATGAATGTTAACCACAGTAGATAAGTAGTTACAGCAGCAAAAAGAAGTAGAGCTGTAGACATATCCATGACTGTATATTGAAAGATAAAAGAACAAGCTCATGCAAGAACTTGTTACTGTTCAAGCTAGGGTGTTGCTAACAAAAAGCTTACCTTAAAAATAACAAGAATGGAGTTGAAATGTGAGAAATCTTGATACAGAGAAAAATCAAGATTACATAGCAATATCGTGCATGATGAAAGCAAACTTATGTATGGGCCGGTGAAAGAAATGGGCGATTGTATAATTAGGAAGAGAAGGAGTAGGAGCCGGGAGAGTTATAAACAAGAGAAGGAAGTGAGGGCGTAGTACAAAGTGGAGAGAGACAGAGAGGGGATTTATAGGTGAAATGAATTGAAAGCAATTATTAAGGCCAGACTGGTTTCTTGGAATATTGCACCATCTCTCTCTTGAACAATCTAATGCATATGCAGAGCAATAAATTCCCTGAGAGGTCGTTGAGGCTGTGAAAGATAAAAAGAACTTAAGCCACGATGATCACTTTCCCACGGGAAACTACTCTAGCAATCCCTCAAGATGACTTCTCCATCTATGTCACATAAACTCCCTACACGCCACCTAATTAATTTTGCAGGCAAGGGGAGGGGCGACCGGGTCGTCAATAATTCAAGCATTGAATGAAGAGAAGTTAATGAGATTGGTTGAGGAACTAAAAGAAGAGATGCAGGAACAGTGATGAGTGAAATCATGTATAAAATAAAGGGGATCACACGAAATATGTGTGGCAAATATTAGTCTCGGTCCTTAAAAGAAGCATGCATGGCTTGTTGTATATTTTGATAAGACGATCATCGGAAAACTACTTCGGTGGTTTTACAGTAATAATTCCTGCTATCCTTATAAGGAGTCTTAAATGAAAATGGGTTTGTCATGTGGGCTTCTGGTTAGGGTTCGGTGAGCAACCCCGGCCCGGCCAGCAATTTATAACGTGATATTGAATATTGGACTTTACAGCTTCGATACTTTCTTTTTTTCTTGATGAATTTTCTTTTCTTTCCCTTCCTCATCCTTGTCTATTGTTTCTTTTTCTTTCTTTCTGTCGGTACATGAGCCGATAAAAAAAAAAAAAAATTGTGATTCATCACACGGTTTTGACCCAACTGCCGGTATATTAATGCTTCCGATGATAAAAAAGGTGTGCCCCGTAGTGGCTGCCTTGGTGGTGGATATCCTTGCAACTTGCAAAAGCATTGATAAAAGTCAAATCTACTGATCACCTGAACTAGGCTGGTGGCATTACCAGTGTGCTTTGTTATTCTATGAGTTCTATGCAAATGGTTTTTGGAAATGAAAAATAAAAAAATAAGGGATTTTAATATAACTTTATCAAGTGGTATTGTAGCAATTGATTTTTAAAATATTTTTATTTAGAAATATATTTTAAAAATAAAATTAAAAATTTGTTGAAATGTGAAAAATAAAAGGTTAAATTTTGTTAGTAGATGATATGTAGGGTTAAGTCTCATGTCTTAAATTAAATAATGAAAAATTGTTATATTTAAAATATTTAAATTCTAATTTCATGTCGAGATGAAACTTAGAATAGAAAATGATGATGTTATTATTATTCAATAATTTAATATATATTTCATTTTTAACTCATGTAGAGTCTATATAGCCACTACATAGGACACCTAAAAAAATAAATTATGAAATGTATTTGATCATCTCATTTAATTAGATTATTCAAATTATTTATTGATTATCTGAAGTTGTTTAATCCCTTGATCTCTTTAGAAAATAATCAAGAATATTTATCTTAATTGTTTTCTTAACATGTCCCCTCAAACTCATAATAATTTTAATTTTCATAAGTTTGATATGCATCACTTCTATTGTCATTGTAGTCTCATATATTTATATTCAATAATTGTTTTTTATTTAAACATAGTTATTCTTAGTCATTTTTCTCCTTTTGGTTGCCACCATATTTTTCTAGTCAAACATATCTTTTTAAGATTTGACTTTTGAAATGGCCATTCTATTTTGACTCATTCTTCATTAAATTAATAATATTATTTTTTTATCATGGCTCTTTGGTCGTTTCACATCTCCTTTTTTACATAGAATTATCTTTTTCTTTTTTTTATATAATGGGTAGTCTTTTTTGTACCATCCTTTTTTCTTGTGTAAGAATTTATTAACTTGCAATAAGTCTATCTTGTTTTTTATGTCATTCTCATAATACAGGATCTCAATTTTCTTCGTTGGGCATTGTCATACTCCACGTGACTTTGAGATCTCTCATTGTCATGAGTTGATGTACCATTAAAAAAAAGGATAATAGATAAATATTTAATAAAAAATAAAAAGAATTGAAAATATAGTGTTTTAAAGTGGTCGAATGGACAACATAAAACTACCCATCAAAAATTAACAGTTAATATTTAAAGCAAGATTTAATTAATGTCATTCACTATAGCAAAAAGAAATTTAAAATAAAAAACGATGTTATTATTCGATAATTTGATACATGTTTTATATTCAACTCATGTTGAGTTTATATAGTCAAACAACAAGATACAAAAGAAAATAGAATAAAACAAATTATAGAAAATAATTGGTCATCTGGTTTAAATGATTGAAATAATTTCCATTGCCTTGAGGTGTTCAATTCCTTAAACTTCTTTGTTATTGATTGGAAATTAATTAAATGAAGGTTTAAAAAGAAATAATGTCCCAGTTTTGCTTAATTATACACCATGAAGAAGGGGCTGAAGTCATCAAGATCAATATATTATAAGAAAGAAGAAGAAAGTTGACCTATCCTCTGGTGTTCTGATGATTCACCTGTTACAAAAACTATATATAGAAGCTTGAGAATAGATGGATGTACATGAATGTGAGGGAAAGGTACCAAATGATGGTTTACGCCTTACTGCTGGTTGATAGGAGTTGTCCCTGGTGAATATTAATGAAAATATTTAATGTCTCCTGTGATCAGCACCAAAAGGAAATTAATTTCGAAGAAGAATTCAACAGCCAGATGATTATAATACTTACCATATTAAAGAATTGCATACAGGAGCACCCCTCAATCCCATGTGTTTTCGAGCTCTAATTAAATATTCAACGGAAACACGCCACGTTTGCATATTTAGCCTTGCTCTTCTTAATTAGATTTTGTGATTAATTACTTTTAGCTGGGAGATTATACCGTTATGAAAGAACACAACTCACAGAGCCCACAGATAAGGTGATCGATTGGATGGAAGTTGACTTTTGATCAATAAATATCACTTGATGTTGGAATTGGATCATCTGGGTGGCTTGACATTTTTTTCGCACTGCAGACGATGCATCTGCTGAACCTTAAAATATGAGAGTTAGGTGCACGTGTCATAAAATGCTCCACCTGTTTTAATCCATTCCATGGATATGCTCCAATTAACCAAAACACAAGCAAGTTCTTGTTCCAGTGTCCATCGTGGAAATGCAGCTTACCAAGAATATAAAAGCATTTAGACGTATACAGATTTAATATCGTTGTTGTTTGATAGAGACTGCATGGGAGATGCATCGATATATATGTGTGTGTGTGTGTGGCTAACTTAGGTGGAAGGTTGAATTCTGGGGTCATTCTTGATTCCTGTACGCAAGTTAAATATCCATTCTTTAATTTCTTCGTGAATTATTTTTTAGTTACTGGGTTTTTGATGAAGTTATAACTTAATCTTTCATGCTCTAACACCTATGAATTAGTCTCCTGACGCGTGCTGATCGTTGTTTCTTGACAAAACATCAATTGTGAATTATTTTTTAGTTACTGGGTTTTTTATGAAGTTATAACTTGATCTTTCATGCTCAAACGCCTATGAAATAGTCTCCTGACTCGTGCTGATCGTTGTTTCTTCACAAAACATCAACTGTTTTCTTCTCCTCTAAACCCTCACTGTATATATATTGGGTTTTTTAAGACAATGGCCAGCAACAGTCAACAGGCTAGTTTATAGATTCTCAAGCTAATTCACAATAGCATTGAAAACTAGGATTAAATAATATTTTACCATTGATATTGCTTAATGTCTTGTGCCTAAGATACTGACTCCGGGACGTGTAAATTGGAACTTGGTGCTCGCTTTTCGCGCGAGTATGCTAGCTAAATCACTAAACTTCAGTTCAATTCTGGTAGATATTTTGGGTTAATGCTATCTGACATTTCCTTTCCCCGGACCCCGCCGGAACCTCGCTTCTGGACATCCTTCGACACCTTTAGGGTTTATATCATTTCGCTAGGCTCGAAATCGTCCCCGCTCAGTCGCTCGCATTAATGATTTGCGCAACAATAAAGACCATGCTTGCACATACCGTATCCTTACAGGTGAAAGACATAAATAGTTGATGATAATTAAGTAGCTGACCTACCTTGTCGACAACCAAACTAGAAGGACTCTTCGTTTGCTAGCTGCGCTGAAAATAAATCGGTCCTTCAAATTAAGGAAGCCGTCAGGCTTTGTCTAACTACTATAATTCTGTTACTATCAACACCGGCCTGGCTGGCTAGACCATAACCTTGGTAAATGAACTCCCAGAAGTAATTGCCCTAGTTCGTTTTAAAATCTCCGAATATCAGCTACCGATACCGCAATGGTAAATGAGATAACAGAACATTCATGGATGATTATTTAGAAGCAGGAAGCAGATCTTAATCGCTGTTGTATGCGCATGATCATTCATCTTATGTCAAATTACTGTAATTACTATCCAAATGTTTTCCCATATTTCAGACAAATGTAGCAGCATTACATTGATTAGCCAATATGCTTATAAATTATGTTTTTTTTTTTTGATAGATTATAAATCGAGTTCTTGAACTGAAAATGAAACGCTAAGTGCAACACATTTCAAAGAAAATATGAACAAACAGATGAAATTGCTTAACATAAAAGAAAACCCTTCAAAGTCTTAAACCTAGAACAGAATTCTGTAAATTTGGCAGAAAGAGTAATTTCCGGAGAGTGTAGACCTGGGTCAAGTCTTCAAAGCTTTAGAGTGTAGACCGATGCCGGGTTGAATTAAGCATATGGTGGAGAATTAGGTGATCTACATCGGCATTTAGCTATACAAAATAGGCCTGAATTTGTATTTGCTGATAAGATTGAATGTTGGACACATTACTTTATTTTCCAAATTTGGTAACCATAAGTAGGTATTGAAAAAATTGAGGGAGTTCTTTTCTAATTTATATAACAATGAAGTTGATTTTAGAAAACAAATTAATATATTTAAACGATAAATTCTACATCATGAATAAGAAGCTAGAGTCATCAATTCCAAAATACTATCAAGAACCGTTGACCTATTATTGGAAAATTAAATTTTCAAAATTATGGTTCTAATTTTCGCTAAATTCCAAGTCATGAAGTGGCAAAAGTCATCAAGATCAATATATCATCAAGATTCGTTGACCTATCCCCTGCTGTCCTCGTGTATCACCTGCTGGGAAAACATTACAAAAGCTCGATAGTAGATAGATATAGATGCATATAAATGTTAGTCCACGCATTTCTAAATGGTTGATGAGAGCTGCCCCTAAACTCCAATTAATCAAATTCTTAACCATTCTGGTAATGCAATAGCTTACCAAGAAATAAAAAGACACTAAATAGAATGATTTGACGAAAGGTTGATGATAATTATTGTTAATCCGCTGTCTTAAGCCTTGTAGGCGTCTTCATAAGTATTGTGAGAATTGGATATAATGGCACTTGGTGATGTATGTTCGTAACAGGGTAACCAAATTGCCAGTGAAGTTCCAAAGTTCCCATGAGTTAAACCCATTGTTTTGTAAATAATTGCACGTAATTTCTTGCGAAAACTTTAGCTTAAGATACTCGAGATTTTAGGGGGTTGATATTATCAGACTATCAGTAGATTTGTTAAAGATTCGCTGTGTCTGAAAGCAAATCGTTATTTGGAATATAAAGACAGTATATAAATCTCAAGAAAGTCTGGTCTGCTAGGCTGCGGAGAAAATAACTCACCCGCGGATCCATGAACAGAAAACTTAAAAAAAAAACTTTTCAAAATATTCACAAAAAAGCATTTTTATTTTTATTTTTTTATGTATGTCTAATTTAAATAATCTTTATTTTACACATAGAATGATTTATTTATTAAGTGAAGATAATATGATTAATAAATATATTTAATTATTTATTCTTCAAGTTTTTTATTAAATACAGATTTTATATAATTACCCAAGTGTCCTTAGCTTAAACCGGCAATGCCAGCTAGGCCACAATCTTAAAAATGAACTTTAGGCAGTTCCTTCACCTTTTATGTTTAAACAAACCCCTCCAAAATAGAAATGCGAGAAAAGCATAGGCCGGGCCAGGCACATATTTGGTCCGTTCATCCTGTCTTTGAGAAGGTTAGACCTGTCCTGATCGCTGATGAGTTCAGTATTTACAAGGAATTACATCTGAGAACATATCGTATACACACCATCAAACAAAGTCAAATTGCTGCAATTACTATCTTGAACATTTCAACATATTTCAGGCAATTGTAGTCTATCAGGCAAGTTTATTTCCTGAAAAAGAAAAATGCCAAGATTCTGGAATGTGAAGCCACCAAAATGCTCGTGGGTACGTACATGCACGCATATAAGAAAGGATGGAAGAAGCAATGGGTTAACAATGCATGAATAACAGAGCAAAATTAAGAGCAAAATATCCATTCATTTCCCAGAAACTGATACGCTGCTTGATAAGAAAATAATTTTTCCAAATGTCTCTGACTCTACCACTGGTTAACTGCATTGATCCCACATCTTAGGATGACCGGCCAACGCATTTAACAATGCTGATGTTACGTTTCTGAAATTAATATAAACAAACTAGTCTAGCACGGCTGAGGCTGAGGCACTTCTATTTGATATATCTTCTATTTAGACAACATCACAGATTATCGTCTGTACAAGTAATTTGGCAGAGGGAACTTCAGGTTCCTTGCTACCTGCAACCCATTCCATACAGAAAGTGTATAATATATAATGCAATTGCTTAACATGAGAGAATCTTTCAAAACGTTACCCCCACAAGAAAATTTTGTAAGAAATTTGGGAAAAGATTGAAAGGATACCTTCAAGGCCAAATCTTCAGAAACTGTAGATCTATACCGAGTTGAACCCTCCAAAGGGCAGCTTCCTCCTTTGATAATAAAGTTTGCATTACAAAGGCTCGAAAGTTGCAATAGAACATCAGACATGAGTCCACAATCCCCTCCAACTCGCAAGACATCATTTTCATGTTCCTCTTCATCAAGTGAATCTGCTGCAGAGGTTATACACTGAAATATAGCTAATAACCTCTCCAGAGGGAAAGTTCCGGGCCCTTTCATAAGTAATTCTTGTTCAGCAACTTCCTTCTGTTCCATTGATTTTTCAGAGGCCCTGAAAAGATATTAGATTAGAAAATGCAACTTTTATGACCATAGAAAGAAATGAAACAAAAAATAAAATGAGATGTTAGTTTTGAGGCTAAAGTAACCAATAGATGTTTCCATTCACGGGGAACCCAGTCAATTGGTGTATCTTGATAAGTAGTAGCCAACAAATGCTTCTTTATTAGCGATTCGATGAACAGGAAATGTTTATTAATAACTGAGGAACAGTTCATATCACTACCTATCATTAGCGGTTAATTGACTGCTCAGACTAGGCTAATTAACAATCCAGAAGTACACATTCAAAAACTATTGCCGAGTTAACTAGCACTAAGATATGTACATTAGAAGGAACTGGGCTCCTTTACTTTCAATTTACTACATGGCAGATGACAATCCAAGCACTTTGTTCTTGTGATCAAAAGAGAACAAAAGAGTAATTCCTAGGCAGATGTAATTTCTATTCTCAGCAATGATATTGAAGAAGTTTAGGTTGAGTTTACTGTTTTCGAGGGAAACTTCCATCCATATATTATAAATTAGAAGAATAAACACTGACCAAAACAATATAAAAGAGCAGTTATCCCAGTAAACAAACCTAAATATTAAAAAAGAATCTTCATGAGGAATTATTTCAGAAGAAAAAGTTAGAACCAGTAATCTATCAGAATTTAACCACTTACTTCCTTTTTCTTTTGCGACTATCAGATCCCCCAGTTGAATCAAACAAGGATGCATCGAGAGTAGCTGGGTTTCTTGAAGCAAGGAATGCTGAAATGAGAAGATATTTCGCAGAAGTAGACATGTGGAAATCTATCTGAGCAAAATGGTCACCAACTTCTGGCTTTCTAGTGCTGCCTTTCTGCCTCGTATCCTTGTTGATTTCAGCTTCTGTAGAAGACTTAGATGGAACCCAGAATATCTCATTTAAGGAAGGGGCAATATGTGGCCGAAAATGACTAAACAACCTTCTCTTCATCTCTTCATTGGGTACAGATGCCAAATCACTCAACGGCTCACAATACTTTCTAAATAATGGTGAAAAAGCAGTTGATAATTCATCCACTCGTCTAGTAGATCTACAGAAAGGTCTCAGGACAACACTGTTGACAAGAAGCAGAAAAGGCACATTTATTGATTAGACAACACATTGCGAAAGATTAAAGTAAAAGACAAAAAGAACGTGTTTTATGTTCTTACTCGAGAAAGGAGGAATATAACTTTCGATTAGCTTGGTTTTTCATCAAAATTTGACGAAGATCATCTTCTGTGTATTCAGGAAAATAAACAGGAACATGCTCTGTATATCCCATGTTTGAGTAGTATGTATCCGGTGAAGTATTACTGATAAATATGAGTCCCACCTCATGCATCTTCAAAACATCATAAAGATTAAACATAAAGGGTAATGCACTCGAACTTTTATCCCACTCACGAATAAGCTCCAAGTTATCAAATATCAGGTAGAGCATATTCCCGTTAGGCTTTCCAGCCGGCTTATTTGAACCCAATTTCTTCAAACTCCTGAGCTTTTCAATAACACTTGTCAAGTCTTCACGAAGAAAGTTGACAAAATCAGATGGCTTAACACAGCGTTTTGCACTCGAATAGCCATTAGCCGCGTTCTTCTTATGAAGCAACAACTGATTTAAAACCGATTCAAACAAGATCTGCAGGCTATAACAAGTACGACAGCTAGCATACACAAAAGGGCGATTGAGGTACCTAAAAATTTGAAGAATGGTACTAGTTTTCCCAGTAGAAGGATCTCCATAAACAAATAATGGAAGCATGGGGGAATTCACCGGACCCAAAAGACGCAAAAGCTCACGAATTTGATTGCCTCTAGCAGGAAAACTAGAAAGCAAATCGTTGAAGCTAAGTTGTTCCCCTCCAGATACAAAGTCATTGAGTGTGGGCTTATAAGGTTTGGTTATTTTTTCTGGTTCAACCTCATTGTTTGTGACGGCAGTTGAAGAAGACAATCGTGTCACTCTTCTAGTGATTTGTGGACTTTCCTCTTTACCCATTTGTTTACAAGTTTGCAAGAATCATTCTGCGACAACAGATTCTTCTCAAATTTAGCAACAGTTCTAAAACTCACAGAAATACGCAGCAGCAAAACAACCATTAAAGAAAACGAAACCTAATAATCAAAATAAAGATTACATAGCTAATTGCTAAATAGAAAAACTACGGATGTAGTTGCATTCTTTTTCTGTTTGAGATAAAGTTATGAAAGATAAAAAAAATTATATAAAAAAAAATAGATCAATTAATATAGGAACTTTTAATTAGAACCAGATAGAGAAAGGCTTGCTGGAAAAGTAGCCCTCTGTTTCCTCCATTTTCTTGGAAACCAAACATAAAAAATAAGAAATCAACAAGTAGAGAAGATGGAAAGTTGAAGGTTACCTGATTGAGAGATTTGACGAGAGAATTTGCTGGGGTGGAGAAACGGCGCGTTTCGTTATGATTCGAAACCCTACCGATGCGGAGAGATGAGGAGAGAGAGAGAGTTAAGAAATGGAAAATGAGAAGCGTTCCCGCCAAAATGCTTGTATCCTGTGGGGTTAGATACATGATAAGCAAACACGAGCATGCCCGTGTAGGCCCAGGGACGCCTCCCCTTGATTTTTGACCCAGGAGCGGGTCCATAGGGCCCATGCCATTGGGCTTCTTTTAAAAAGCCATTCCTTTATTTAAAAAATATATATACACACACAAAAAGATTTATATTGTGCCAGAAATTTTTCTATCTCTTAACTTAAAAAAATATGTTTATTTACTTTGTATTTTATACAGTTGTTTTAATCTTATAAATTAATTTGAAATTGACTTGATTTTTTTATTTTATTAAAAAATTTAATCGTGTCTTTTAACATGAAATTAGTTAGGAGATAGTTTTAGTATTTTTCTTATTTATTCTATGTTAAGTTATCTTGTTCTTGTAATTTGCATCATTGATTTACCTATATTTACTTAAATTGTTTTTTATATTTTATATTTTTTTTAACACTTGGTTGATTAGAATTGCATTTTATAATTTATTTTGATTTGTTTTATAAAAATTTATCATATTCTCATAATCTAAATCACAGGTTTTTAAATTAATTAGGGTTAGTTCAAGTTAATTTAATATATTATTATTTTAATATCATTTTTTTAAAAATACATATGTTGTCCAATATACTACCTTCTTAATGTTTTTAATTGCGTGTCATCTAGTTTGCATTAAACTGTAGGTTCATGATTAATTTTTTTTCAAAATATACATCAACAATATTTATATATTTTTTTGTTAAAAAATGATATGACCTAACAAAACATAACATGAGAAATAATCTAGTTAACAAAATACTAATTGATATTTATTAAATCATTGTAATCATACCCATAAAATATTATTTATTAAAATAATAATTTTTATTTTATTTATTTTATTTTATTTTTTAATATTATATCATTTTATGAATCATGCTTCGTAACTTTTATTTTATTTTTTGCTGTGTACCAACCTTGTAGATTTAGTTATTTTTTTTAAAAAAATCCCCTTGGTATTAGATTTGGTGGAAGTGGAGTTTCCTAATAATTTTTTATTTATTTTGTATGAATTATCATAATTTTATGACCTAGATTTCATATTTAACAAGTTAATATGGATTAGTTTACGTCGTCGTTTGTTTAGATTGCCTTTTCTACTTATTTCTTTTTTATTTCATCACTCAACACCAGGTTTGATGGAAAATTGAGCTTCATGGTATTTTTTATTTTTTTTCTATAAGGTTATGTTGATCCTGTGACCCATATTATAGTTTAGCAAGTTGTCTTTGGTTTATTATATCTATTCTTTTAGATTATTTTTTAATTGAATATATATATATATATATATATATATATATATATTTATTTGTGCATCGTATTTTTTTCTCAAATTGCTTTCAATAAAATTATTTCAATCTTATAATTCAAGATGTAAGTTTGACATGTTGACATGATTTTTTTATCATTTTTTAATTAATTTTTTTTATTTCACCATCCAATAACTCAATTTTTTTTAGCTTTATTTTTTCAACTTCTCCTTCCAGTGTCATGTTATTTGAGAATTGATCCTTGTAATTTTTTTCAGTTTTTTTTCTATGGAGTTATTTAAGTCTTGTTGATTTATTTTATTTTATTTTTTATATTAATTTTAACCTTTAATATTAGATATGTTAGAAATAAAGTTTTGTATATATATTGAAGTTATTCTAGTTTTATGACCCAGGTTATTGGTTTAATAGGTATGTCTGAATTGATTTTTTTTATTTCATCATTCAATAATTAGTTAGTTAGAAATTGAGTTTTGTGATATTTTTCAATTTGGTTTCTATAAAGTTATCTCAATTCTATAATTTAGGTTATAATTTTAGCAAGTTAATGTTTTAGCAAGTAAACTTGAGTTGATTCATATAGTTTTTTTAATTTAATATTTTGTTTTTCAATTCCTTCATTCTATAGTTGGTTGGTTTGGAATTAATATTTATAATTTATATTGATTTGCGTTTGAAAAGATTATCACGGTGTTATGATCCAAGTCGATTTAATATGCCATCATTTGAATTTTTTTTTAATATTAACTAATATATTATCATATCAATATCTCAAAAAAAATATCATTCAATAAATAGCATATTTTAATTACAAGATTATTTTTTTACTATAAAAATATTTTCAATGCTTTAGTAAAATATACTAAAACATGTTGAAAAAGTAATATTAGCGTGTGCATTCTCTCCACCCGAATACACTATTAAAATATTTAGGAAAAAAATGATAACATTATTATTCAGGAAATGCATTATTCATCGTATTGTTCACATAAACAATGTATTTTTCTTTAATTTATGTCATTAGTTTTTTTACTTGCAATTTCATTTTTTCAAATTGTTCTAGTATGATTCTACATGTTATGTTTTTTTAATTTACATATACAAGTGTCGATAAATATTTCATTGATTGATTTTTTTAAATAGAACCTTATTTATAGTTTAAAAAACAGGAACAAAGATTTACATAAAAAAAAAAGAGGACAAATCATACCCCTTTTAAATACTAACATGAAAAACTTCAATTTACTCACTAAAGTTTTATTTTATTCATTATTTGATCCATGTTACGATTCCAAAACATTTTATTTTATATTCAAAATCCTTGGAGGATGATAAATAAGAAAAAAACTTGTTGAGAAATAATCAAGAAGAGAAAGGGTGCTTGAATTATCATATCTCAATCATAAAAAAAAAGAGAGAAGTTGATAATGATTTCACTGAGAGTTTAATAAAAAATAGATGGGCTTTTAACCATTAAAAAAAAATATATCAGGATCCTTAATTTATTTTTATTTATTTATTTAATATTTATTTTTCAAATAGATTAAAAACTATTCGAGGGGTTGGAAATAAACTTATTAAAGTTTTGAAAGTGAATTTTTAGATATTTTAAAGTGAAAATAAATTAAAAAATTAGTTTTTTTCTCTCTAAAAACTTGAAGTTTGACAATTCAGGTAACCTAGCATCTATTCAAAAGTTCGTTTAGAAATATAGATGTATTTTTTAAGTTTTAAATTGTTTTTTATATATTTTTAGATTGTTTTAATGTATTAGTTTAAAAAACAATTTAAAAAATAAAAAATATTATTTTAATATATTTTTAATTGAAAAACACTTTAAATTACAACTATAACTATTACCACAATTATATATAAACTATTACCACAATTATATATAAGGATTTTTTTTAAAAAAAAACCTAGACATATAATCACACACGCTTGGGTTTTGAATCCGTGAGCTAGTCTAACCTTTTATTGTTTTTTTTTTTTTAACTTGTAATTCTTTTTTTTTTTTATCAATGTTAATAAATAGTTTCTCTCATGTGTATTTGTTTACTTTCCATTGATTTTTATTTAAATTTTAATCCATACCCTCTTATTTTTTTAAATAACTTCTTTATAGATAGTAATTATTACCCTTAATTGTCTTTTTTTATTTATTTCACAATGCTTCAACAAGAATATTATAATTGATCTTTAATTTTTCTCTCTTTTATATTATATATAAATAAATTACATTTACATAATATATTTATAGAAATAAAAACCATCAATTCTTAGCAATCAAAATTAACCTTTAAAATAAAACAAATAAAACAACGTAAAATATAAAGGACATCTATAATTAAATATTTGCGTGAGCATGCATCTTTTTTTTTTTTTTTTACCATGAACATTAGTTTTCTATTTTTGAATCTTAATTCATGGGTGTTCAGATGCACAGTTCTCTACCACCTACCAATCTTCAATGAAATATGAATTCCCACACCGAGCCAGGTACTGAAACCATCACAATTACAGAAGCACAGCAATATCAAACTTTTAACATGTAGCCATGGAGCTCTGTCATATGAAAATTAGGTCCACACAGAAAAATACAGTAATTACCCTCCCCACATTTTCGTCAATATCTTAGTTGTCACTTGAGGAACTTCCCCTGATAAAAGAACCACGTCGATTGCCACCGACAATCACATCTTTAAGTCGAGTTATTGGCCTCAGTAGATTCCCACTTCTCTGCAAAAAGCACAATAGATGTCACACTTCGTGGCAAAGATGAGTTCAAAAAAGGAATAAACATCAGGAAAGTGCTGTAATACAAGTATCCAAGGAGCAGAATATGGCAGCGAACAGGGAAGAAAAATAACTATAAAGGCAACTGACATGACTTGATGTGCAATGCCTGCACAAGAATGAGTGAATTAATTTACACTAAGTGCTAAAATTTGCTCAAAGACAATAGGCAGAAGTACTCGACAGTTTTAGTACCAGTAGAGTATTTACAACACTTGCACAAAGGTAACAAGCATAAATAGAAGCTCAGGTGATCTTAGGTTGTCATGCAGCTCATTAAAGTGTAAAATGAGCTTTAATCAATCCAATGTGCAACTTCATGCTCTTGCATATCATAGCTCAGGCGGCCACAGTTACAACATAAAAATAAAATAATTACACGTAAGTATTAACAGGAGACTCTTATCAATTAATAACTTTTGTAGTTGTTGGTATGAGTTGACTATCGCATTGCATCTCTTTCCGCTTCTCTGCCTGCACACTCCCTTCCCTCAAACAATATCTTTTTTAATGTCTCCAAAACATCTTAGTGATCATATGTCAACCAGAAGGGTTCTCAACTTCAACTCCAATAAATAATACATACGAATGTGAGCTCCTAGAGATCATGCATATTTTTTACTGTAATAAAAATCACATAACATCTTAATTGAATTGAATCATGAGGTTTTAGTGAAATCTCAAGTTTAGAACCATTTTGAGTGTCAAGAATTGAATTTCAAATAGAATTCAATATCTAAAAACGATACAAAAATAAATCAAAGGTCAACCACTCTAATTTCCTACACTTAAAAAAAATGTAAAAACTTGCTTCCCTAAAATACCCATTTAAA